CAGTGGTGTCGAACTGTGGCCCTCCAGATGTTCTTGGACTTCAACTCCCAGAAGCCTTCACCACCACCTCTGCTGGCCAGGATTTCTGGTAGTTGAAGGCCAAGAACATCTGGAGGGCCACAGTTCGACACCACTGGCCTAGATGATAAAAGGGAGGAACCTAAAATACCATCTCCTGTTCCAAAAAAGAGAGAAAGAGAGAAGGTGTTTGGGGTACGCTGGATAGTGGAGGAGATGGGCAGAGAGTAAGCTGGGCATTTATCCCTGGTTCAGAGGTTGATCCAAGCCAGATACATATTTCAATGTTTCTAACTTCTCATTGGAGATGAGATTTAATATTTCTGTGAAATCTGGTTTTGAACTTGGCTTTGAAGAACCTTATCAGCCTCTCTGCTTAAAATACACTTAACTGTAGCAGCATCCTATCTGTATGTAGGATGTAACTGGATAATTGGAGTCCCTATTTTAGTTGTAGCCCTAGTGTACTCTGTACTGGGTCTTTGATTTGCAGAGATCTGCAAAGACTAGGCATTCAGTGATAAATCAGTCTGTAGAGAAGGTCACCAAAAATATCGACAAAAAACAAATTTCTGTCTGTGTATTTTCCAAACGGCAAATCAAATAACAGAAGGTTTTCAAAAGCTCTGCACTTCAGTAATAACTAAAATTGCAGTTTGAATCTGGGCGAAGAATCTGACAAAAACTGAAGAAATGATGGTCCTGGTCACACTCAATCAACTATAATGTTCAGTTACCTTGGAGCAGTTGGTGGTGTTCGGTCCCTTACTCCTAAATTCTTTGCCGTGTTTTGTACTCTTGCTCCCTGCAAGACAGAAGAATGATTGGGCTTTGCACATAGCTGATCTTTTTTTAAGGAACTCTATCACGTCAATTCCAGGCCTAGGTCAACACATCTAGAAAGAAATTGCCGGAGAGACAATACCAAAGAGCGATAAAGAAGCAATAGGGGAAAACAGAGATAGCACACTGATCACCACTGTTTTTCAAATGACTCTAACTGCATTAGGGACAATAGTACTTAAATAATGCTTATTTGGGGAAAGGGCAATAAAATAAGATAGTACATCCACATAGGTAAGGTATAGTGCAAAATAGGGGTTTATTTTTTATTTGACATAGTGAGCGTTCAGGCTTAATTTGATCTAGGACCCATTTGTTCATCTTTCTGGTGATCCAGCAAAACTTATTATTTTCTTGTTGTATACTGCCTTATGAGGATACTTTGTCCTGAAATGTGAAAATCCATTAAGAAACTAACTAACTAAATAAAATGTTTTTAAAAATCAATTGAATTCAAAAGTCTACTGGCTACTGGTACAGTTTTTAGGATGTATGTTTTAATTATGTTGATTGCAAGCTAGTTGGGGGTATAGTTAAAAGTGACAGACAGACTGGAATAAATATTTTTAGATCTAAATCTAACCATTGCAATTCAAGCAGGTCATTGAGTCAATAATATTGATATAACTGTTGACTAAATGATTTGTGTTCATTCTCTAGATATTTGTGTTTTTAAAGTCTTAGTGCTATTCGCTTGCTACCAGTGCATCTCTAGATGGGAATAACAGCTGGACTTGTTTGTGTGTTCTGTGCCATAAAGTCAGAACCAACATATAGCAACCCTAATAGGGCTTTCAAGGTAAGTGAGATATTTAAGGAGTCGTTTTACTAGTTCCACTCCCCTGGTGAATGTCCATGGCTGACTAGGGATTCGAACCCTGTTCTCCAGAGTCCTAGTCTATCATTCCATCCACTGCACCACACTGGGGATCAACTTGATTTAGCCGATTAATAATAAAAACTATCACTGCATTTTTCAAGTTCAAGGAATTGTTAAAAACATAGAATATTAAGTAGTGCTATTTAACTAGTCTATCATTCCATCCACTGCACCACACTGGGGATCAACTTGATTTAGCCGATTAATAATAAAAACTATCACTGCATTTTTCAAGTTCAAGGAATTGTTAAAAACATGCAATTTTCTTGTTTTAAGAAACTGACACATTCAAAATGTTTACCTATGGTATCTGGAAAAGCACAGGGAAGAGAGCAGCTGAGAACAGAAGGGAACGTTAAAGGTAGACCTCAATTTTTGCTTCGGGGTTTATGTTTTTCCTGTGAATACTCATGAAGCTTGAACTGCATCAAGCATGTATTAATTTTTTATTGTTGCATACTATCCTGTATTTAAAATGTTAAAACATGAATTTCTGAGTATCATATAACCTTGAGGGAGTTGATATTTTCTATGGTGCAGGATTCAGACCCCAAAGTGTAGAAAACAGACAGTGGAATAAATGGAAACACACCCATATAAAACTACAGTGGAATTAATGGAAAGAGAGAACAGAGTCCCCATGCTGCAATTTTCATCTGAAAAAAAAACATTTTTCAGGTAATAGATTTTGCTTAAAGCAAATAACACAGCCTTCTGTGTAGAAGCTCATTATTATAGTGCATAATTTGCTTAATAAAATGAGGAAAATCTTAACAAAAAGAAGGAATAATGAGAAAAGGAGGTATATTCAGAAGAGAGTAGCAATTTGTAGGAGAGCTGGTCACCCCCCACTCAGCAATATTTAATCAATATATTTTAATAGTTTTGATGCATTAGTTTTCTTTTTATGGACTAATATTTTTAAAACATAAAGCTGCAAGTCCATAAAAACGGAGAACTTTATGAACGGAATATTCCTACTGTGTGTAAATAACAGTTGCATTGATTCATATACTTCAAATATTTGTATGCCGATTCTTAACTCCAATAGTTTTAGGATGTTAATATACTACTAATATACAAGCCAATATATCCCATCATTAACCAAAAAGAAAAAAGAAATTAAGTAGTTGTTAGAATTCATTCAATGCTATGTATCTTCCCCCCCCCCCTTTTCTCAAGAGTAAGAAAACATTAGTTTTGGTATCCTGCTGTGAATTAAAAAAAACACAACTCCAGTCCAGCTTTTCAGGCATGAAATGTACACAGAACCATCACACTTAAAAATACTTCTCCATTCACTTCAGGGAGTGTCTATGCCATTAAAGCTAAGCAAGAAACTGGTGTGCATCTGGAGTAGCTGTAGCTGTCAATCAGAATGATAGCCCTACACAAACACCCATCTACACCACATTGCTTACTTGTTTGCGCATCACATCTGTAGCTTGCAGGATGTAGCGAGGAGGTAAGCCATGACTACGAGCGAGAATTAAAGCCTGCTCCAGAGTGACACTCAGAGTGCAACTGCAATACAAAATCGGACAAATCTAAGACCTAATTTATTTTATCAACTACAACACTGATGATGTTCTAAGTCCAGTGTTCTTATCTGCTCATACTTTGCATGTTTACTCTGAAGTGAAACCACAGCTTGAATTCTATTGTAATAGAATTCTATTCTGTTGCTGGAGAGTAACATTTTGTGCTTTCCCTTCTTTTAGGATTATGTTAATTTTAACAACTGATGATAAATCTAAGGGATTGATTTGCATAGATTATAGCAAACATGTTCTGTACAGAAAGCTTTGTGAATGTTAAAGCACAGTTTAATTTTCTTTCTGGTGTCATCTTGTTCTGATGATATACTTGTGCTACACATGTCTGTCTAGAACAGATAGAAGATTTGTCACTTTAATGTAAAAGTGGAAAATACATTTCAATAAAAATCAAAAGTGGATATAACTGCTATCTATTCAAAAGTTCAACTATCAGCATGGACACTGGAATGAAAATACAGTAAAAATCTTTGAATAGTGCTATTAAGTACAGCTCACTTTGAATCACAATGAAAGAATTAATTTTAAAGAGAGGCGAATACACTAAACATTGTGTAGTTGTATCTACCTTCTGTACTGAAGTTTACTATGGCTGGAACATTAATTTATATTTAATGAAAATGAAAACTTGATTATTTTTCTGACAATTCATAATTTCCCATAGACCTCTAACACTACCACACTCACAGGCTTTTCTATCTGAAGAGTATCCTTGAACTCTACCATAGACTACTTGAGTTCCTCTAACATTTTCCTTTTAATTCTTAATACTGCTAATTGCCATGTTACCAGCAAATACTTTGTTCAGCTTTTTGGCTCAGGTACTGTTATAATAACCATTACATGCCATCAAGTCATTTCTAACTTACAGTGACCCTTCACAGGTTTTTTTGGGAACTCTGAAGAGTATCCTTGAACTCTACCATAGACTACTTGAGTTCCTCTAACATTTTCCTTTTAATTCTTAATACTGCTAATTGCCATGTTACCAGCAAATACTTTGTTCAGCTTTTTGGCTCAGGTACGGTTATAATAACCATTACATGCCATCAAGTCATTTCTAACTTACAGTGACCCTTCACAGGGTTTTTTGGGAAGAGAATACTTAGAAGTGCTTCACCATTCCCTTCTGGGAGCACCCCAGAACATACTTAGAAGTGCTTTACCATTCCCTTCTGGGAGCACCCCAGAATTGTGCATCTTGTCCAGGATCACACAGGCCAGCTCTACTCCGAGTAGAAACAGTATAAAATCAAACGCACAACCCTGACTTCCACACTCAGATACCTAACTTACTGAGATATCCAGTTACAAAAGTGATGACAATATTTCCACACAGTCTGGCACAATGTACCCACATAGGCTGAGTATAATATTTCCATATCTCTCATAATACTGTTCACTAAGAGCAGAACAGAATGTTTTATTATAAAACTGGTATCAATTTGGGAAAAAAAACATGGAATATTTACTCTTCAGTATTTGGTGAGCTGAACTTTCATAACTTTTGAAGGCATTTTAAAATACATTTTTAAAAGAAGAAATTGCAAAATAGGAAAAACATTATTAATTGTGTGTTGTAAAGTGATATTTTGTGGGACAGGAACTGCTATTTAAAAAATACATTGTTACTGGGGATGCCAATAATTTACTAATAATTTTTCAGCTCCGTTTATTTCGGCTGTGAGAAGTGAAGTCCATACGGAACTCTCATACTAAAATCAATGAAACTTCAAGTAATTAACTTCAACAGGTCATACCACAAGAATATTTCAACAGCTCATAATCAATTCATTAACTGCTGTGAGACTGCCTGTATTATTCTAAAAATAAGACCCTTTAATATTAAATTTGGGCTTTAATTTCTCATTTATAATAAACATCCTACCAGCCTATCCATCTGCCATTTAGTCATTCTGTTCTCTTGGTTGGATTTTACTCATTAGTGACCTTTAAATAAATTAGTTCTTCATTCATGAGACAGTCAACACCACTCAAAGTTTCACATAAAATGCAAAAAGGTTGAGTTTCTATTCTTAAAACTGCCAGGAATATTCATTTAGGAGTCTTCCTCTTCAGTTCTTCATCAGTGCCATTCAACAAGATGTATATAATTATGTCAGTCCAGTAGGAGGCAAATGAATGACAAAAAAGATTGCCTCTAAGAATGACATCCCTTCTAGGAACACTATATGTCAGATTAGTCGTTCAAAAGCAATACCTACCCTGCATTAACCATTAATACTTGAACAAATATAACCTCAAAAAATAACTGAGAAAATCAGATGTGCAAAAAGAAGCAAAACAATTATTGTAGTAGATATACTCTCCCATTTCTTCAGATAACCCCTCCAGTATCTCTTGAGCAAAAAGATAGAGAGCAAGTTAGGTTTTCAAAGAAAAAACTGAAAAAGACGCATGACCTTTGAGGTAACAAAACATCTTTATTTCCTTATGACTAGAACTGAATTCATAAGGCACTTGCATGTGTTTTGTTTTTTTTAAGCAATCTCATGGAAGGAGCTCTGCAAGTCTACTCTGCTTTTAGCTTGATTTCTAAACAGTCTTGTACTCTTTCTTATATATAATAAAACCTGTTTTTTCTTATCAGTCTGCTTTTTCCCAGTGCCTTTGCCTGGGATGTATTTCATATTTCAAAATCTCATTTATTTAATTCTCACCAGTGAAAATGAAACCTTTTTTAAAAAAATTTTCCCTGCTGATTAAGTTGCACTAGAATAGGCCCACTGAATCAATGGCGATCTGATGAGTCAAGTCTTCTGTAAATTCCACTATTCAGTGGGATTACTCTGCTTGAGACTGATTTTAATATAACAATGCGTGTGTTGTGTTTAGTCGTAAGATCGGTAAGTGAAACGCTTACCGGTCTTCGCAAAGCGAATTTTCCCCTATTGGAAAAACGTTGAGCGATCGCATTAGCGATCCGAAAAAACAGATCGCTATGCGATTTCATCGTTACACGGTGCGCTCGTTAAGCGAGGCACCACTGTATATAATAAACCTGTTTTTTCTTATCAGTCTGCTTTCTCCCAGTGCCTTTGCCTAGGATGTATTTCATATTTCAAAATCTCATTTATTTAATTCTCACCAGTGAAAAGGAAAAAAATTTAAAAAAAATTCTCCCTGCTGATTAAGTTGCACTAGAGTAGGCCCACTGAATCAGTGGAGAACTGATGAGTCAAGTCTTCTGTAAGTTCCACTATTCAGTGGGATTACTTTCTTGTCTCTCCTTGCTATTCTTTGGAAAATATAACAATGCAATAAATCTTAAAAGTATTGTATCAGATTGTAGAAAAATACTGAAAGTAGAATTTGTTAGAGCAACTCCTGCAAAATTTCTCTTAACAGAGAAACATCAAAAGCTTTCTTCCGGTGTCTCAGTTCAGCACACTTTTAAAACAAGAAAGGTTTTGTTTTGTTTTGTTTGGCTTTTACTTGCACTATTTGTATAATTAAGATATTTTATTGAACATGGTTCAGTCAATCAAGAAATCTAAAATCTTTTTTCCTTGAACCTAATAATGACCATGACAATGAGAGGACAATACTAGCAATTAGAATAACAGGAAATTGAACAAGTGGATGAGATTCTTAAAACAGCAATTTTATACTGCTTTCCCTGATAGCAAATTTCACTTTATTCAATATAACGTTATTTCTGAAGGCACATTTATGGCAGTGACCAAGCCAGAATAATAGGATTTTAAAATGTTGAATGCTGGATTATAGTCTCCTGTGTTGTTCTTTCCTTAGAGTGTTACACGTCTACAAATGTCTTGCCTAGGGCTATTCAGTGAGATAATGGCTAAGATTTGGAATCTGTGTACAGATTCAAAACTAAACAAACGTATTTGAGGATCTCATAATTCTTGCAACTATTTAGTTAGTTTAATTTAGTTACATGCCACCTTTCTCCCAATGTAGAGACCCAAGATGACTCATGATTAGAGATGAGCACAAACTGCCAGTTCAGTAGTTCATGTCAGTTCCAGCAACAGTGAAACAAGTGTTCGTAATCAAATAAACAGCATAACAAAACACAATTAAAACAGAATGACACACACTGTTAAAACATTTAACAGATACCAATGTTTAAAATGACCATTTAAAACCACTTTAAAACATGCAGACCTGCAGGGATTGCAATTTTTTAAAAAATGTAAGTCTCATACCGGTGTACTCCACTATTGCACATGATGATATGGCAAGCTCCAAGTCGGCTACAAAGTTCTGAAGACACTGACAGCAGTCCAACTCCAGAGGCACTGCAAGCTGTGTAAGCACAGGCTGCTGTGCGCTTAGATCTTATGAAAGATGCCATCAGCCGATAAAGTTCATCCAAAGAATTGATAGGCCGCATCAGCTGCAAGGAAGTGACAAACTTGCTGATATCAGAACTGCTTCTCTTTGTGGCAGTGAATATAATGAAGCATGAGTTCAAGGGATACCAAACTACAATTATTTTTAAAATAAATTCAGAGTACAGATTGTCTTCAGACTACTTTTCTGTCTTTATGTTTAGGACTATGGCATAAAGTAGCAGTCACACAGCTGGTTTGGATCCTAAGCAACTGTATAACAAAAGAATAAAGCTGTCATCTTTGGGATGGCCATTAATTGAATAATTAAAGAGAATTAACAGAAGAATATTTCTGAACAGGAAGATTAGATACTTAGTGAGCTGAGGAACATGAACTAATAAGCTAAGATCCTAAAGCTATATTGTAAATTTTTCCCCCAGTGATCACACAACAGACTGGGAAATGCACTACAGCCCAATCTCAATCCATTCCCAAGGGCTTCAACTTTTTTGCAGCCAATTCCTTAGTAGATGGAAGGATGGCTCTAAGAGAGATCACTCCCATCGAAGTGACTCTTCCTGGTGCAATTAGGCATATGTCTTTGCAGCCATCTGATTGCATCCTTTGTGCACCCTATAAATTTAGACCATTCCAGTGCCAGGTATACGTATTTAGTTCTGCGGTCCCGAAGTTACAGGTAATTATTTCATATGATTAATTCAACCCTGTAAAGTACTATGTCCACAATATTTTCTTGTAGACAGCATGCACTGGAATATTGCTTTAAGACAGAGTCATCTGCAGATGCTGAAATCACACACACAAACATTGCAGTTTACCTTATCTATATAAGCAGCTTTTGATGTTGAATTAGGTGGAAGATTTGACTTGTCCAGGTAAAATGCCCTAGGGAAAAAAGTATCCAAAGTATGTCAATCGTTAAAGAGATTCTATAATCACTGAATAATAGAGTTGGAAGGGGCCTATAACACAATCAAGTCCAACTATCTGCTAATGCAGGAAGGCAAGTCAAAATATACCTGACAGATGGTTGTCTTACTTTTCTCTTGAATGCCTCCAGCATTCGAGCACCCACTACCTCTTGAGATACTTGGTTCCACTGTTGTACTGCTCTAACAGTTCAGACATTTTTCCTGTTATTCAACCAGAATCTAGCTTCCTCTAACTTTATCCCATTATTACATGTCCTGTACTCTGGGATGATAGAGAACAGACCCTGTCCCTCCTCTGGATAACAAGTTTTCAAGTTTTGTAAAAGTACTTGGCTTCTAGTCCCCTGATCATCCTTACTGCCCTCCTCTGAATGAGTTCCAGTTTGTCACATTCTTCTTCAAGTGTGGTGTCCAGAACTTGATACAGTAGTCTAGACTCTAGATGAGGCCTAAACAATGTCAGATAGAGGGGAACTGGTACTTCATGGGACTTGGAGACGATATTTCTGTTAATACAGCTTAATATAGCATCTGGGTTTGTTTTTTTCCAGCCACATTGCACTGTTGGCTCATATCCAACTTGTGATCTATAACAATTCCAAGATCCTTCTCATTTGTAGTATTGGTGAGCCAAGTATTTTGCATCTTGTAACTGAGCATTTGTTTCTTTCCCCCTAGGTGTAGAACTTTGTATATATCCTGGTTACATTTTATTCTGCTGTTTTCAGCCTAGTGCTCAAGCCTATCAAGATCTTTTTGAATTTTGTTTGTGTCTGCCAGGATATAAGCTATTCCACCCAATTTTATGTCATCTGCAAATTCGATAAGCATTACTTGCATCCTTCATTCAAGTCATTAATAAAAATGTTGAAGAACATTGAGCCCAGAACTGAGCCTTGTGATACCCTACTTGTTACTTCCTCCTAGAGTGGGAAGGAGCCATTGATGAGTCATCTGAGTACGATTCTGTAACCAACTGTTTATCGACCTAACAGTTGTTCTATCCAGCCCACACCTAATTAGCTTGCTAATATACATTTAAGATTAGGAACTTCAGTCCTAATTTTCTTTAAGGAAAAACATTAAGGATGCACAGATAACAGTATGTCAAAATATGTGAAATAAGTGCACCACCTAATGCTAGGGTGGGCAAACTCCAGGGAACTAGGGGTCACTTTTGAGCCTTTGAGCACCAGGACCCTCAAGGGGTTGCACCCACTGCAAAAACAAAAAACAAAGGAAGTGCCCAAATGTTTTGATCCAAACGATTGCAATATTTTTCTATGCATTTTTGTCAGGTAACTATCATTTCAAGCATCTGACAAAGCAGGTTCTAAACCAAAGAATGGGGTTCAAATCTGGCCCATCACAACAGCCCATGTGGCCTTAGGCATCCTCCTCCCACCATGCACCTCAGAAAAGAAGGAGAGTGCTGAAGTGAACTCTGGCTACCACTTCCATTATATTAATTCCTCTCCCACATCCCATCTTGCACCGTAATTGGAGGGTGGAAGAATGACAAAGTTGGCTTCAGATTCAACTTCATCCTCAAGAGTATTTCTTCAGGCTCTGTGATTAAATCCATTTTGCTCCTCTATCAGTTTCCTTAATTGGGAAACGCACAGAAAGAGTAAGGACAGCTCAGGACTCAGTTGTCACCTCAAAAAGGCCATTACTACAGGCATCTACACCTTCTGGGATGAAAATTCATGGCCTTTCTCTATGTAGAAAGAGGCACAGAACTGCATAACTTTCCCCTTCTTTCTAAACCTGTTCACCTCTAAGGAGCTTTAAGTGTTGATTTTAAGTTAAATGTAATATATAGGAGTATACACATAAATGCAGTACAGTCGTGCCTCACACAGCAATTGCTCCATATAGCGATGAAATCGGTTTGCGATGGAGTTTTTGCCATTGCAAGAACAATCGCTTTGTGATGGCCCCTATGGGGAAATTTCGCTTTGCGATGATCGCAGGGAAGCGATCATCGCAAAGCCCCCATTTTCGGCCAGCTGATCGTCGGTTCCAAAATGGCCGCTGGGTAACAAAATGGCCGCCCGCTGTTTTGCCTCGCTTTAGAGGCACTAAAAATGGCCACCACAATGGAGGATTTTCGCATGTTAGTTTTTAAGCCCATAGGAACGCATTAAACACGTTTTAATGCATTTTTATGGGCTTTTTAAAATCGCTTAGCGATGAAATCGCTTAGCAGCGATTTTTGCTGCACCACTTAACATCGCTAAGTGAGGCACCACTGTATAAGAGCTGATGTAGTTGGGAAACTGTAGCATTTTTGTGAAGACCTCACATTGGTGGAAATGTACACCTCAGCACATCATCTGCAATATTACCGATATGGTTTCCTCAAAGTGTGTTCCTCCTACTGTGAGCCCATTAGTTCTCTCCAATTGTGGGCAGCATGTGAGCATTCCCCGCATAGTCTCTGAATAGCTGTCACTGGTTGCTAGTGACAGTGGGAGCACATGTGCCATCTTCCCACTTTAATGGCATTTTTAGTTTTAACCTCCCTTTGGGACAAGCACACAATGGGTACAGGAGATATTGAGCCAGTACAGTACAGCAATAATGCATTTCCCATTCCAGCATAATGCTAGAATAAAATTATTCTGCCCAAACACCAATGTGATTTTCAGAATGTAATTTATCTAGAAACTAAGTACTTTCTCTAATAATTAGCTAACACTTCCAGAGAATATGGAAACATGACACTTGCATAGCTTTTCATGAAATTATCCTTGGTATTTCTGAGAACATGGCAAATTGAAGACAGCATACAAATTCCCAAAGCACTTCACTTTATTACTAAATGCTTGTTTAGGACCCTAATAAAATTTGATGAATAAAGCTAATGGAAAACTTGGCCCAATGCCTGAAATAAAGCAATATTTTCTAATCAAAGTGACAAGCGTGAAATATTAACACCTTTTCCATGTGCTTTAGAATTTTAAAAATGCAATAGATTTTATTTTATTTTATAAAACTGAAAGCTACCATTTTATCCCCTTTAACTTGAATCTAATTAATTATACTATGCAAGAACCAAATAAGTTCTAGTTCTTGCTTACTAGGTTTTCTATGTACAAAGTGCTCAAAAAAGTGATTTACTAGTCCCTACTTCTTGTGATGCTCTGGCAGCATGCAACTTGCCCGAGGCTGCAGAGGCAGCAGTGATATAACCCCATCAGCCACATACACTCTAGGTCAGTGGTGTCGAACTGTGGCCCTCCAGATGTTCTTGGCCTTCAACTCCCAGAAATCCTGGCCAGCAGAGGTGGTGGTGAAGGCTTCTGGGAGTTGAAGTCCAAGAACATCTGGAGGGCCACAGTTCGACACCACTGCTCTAGGTTATCTCAACTGGCTCACCTCCCTGAAGACAATGGAGATTCAAATTTCCAGAGCCAGGATCTCCAACTCACTGAAGTATACCAGAAAAACAAGTCCTCTTGCAATTACAGTGGAAGACATATATTTTTACAAGTGTACTAAAGAATTTTTTCAATTCTGTGTGAGTGCCAAATTCTTAAATAAACTATTATAAATGTTTTTTAAGGAATCTACTACCAAGCAAAGCAAACTAATCAGAGAAGTCTTACAAGGCCCTGGAAGTGGCACAGATTATTTCGTATCCTGTACTGGTTATCATAGATAGTGGTGGTGCTACTGCTTCTGTGTGCATGCTTGTTATATACTGACTGACCCAGTGGCATTTATTTATTCAATGCTATCAATGTGAGTGATGCTTTATAGAGTACCACAGGACCAATCACTTCTCCATATTGTTTACTACCTAATATTCAGCACAGGAAAACCAACACAGAACAAGAACGAATCAACTGACTTATGTTTGTATATGCATATTTAACTAATTCACTGAGCAGCAACTAGTAGATTCATAGTAGATTCACAGTGATTCATATTTTGGTATTAATATTAGAATACTAACAAACATCCACCACAATATTCAACTATATATTATTTTAGGATCATGAATCAAATTTTTGCACTGGGATAGAATGGATTTTGATTGTCAGTTATTTACCTGAGTTTCTGGTTATACTGTTTTACTTTTTCCAGTGAAGCTGCATTAATTTGGGCTTGAAATTCTTCTACTGATACACTGTCCCTGTAATAATAGCCTTCCATGCTTTCTAGGGCTGCAAAAGAATGGAAAAGAGAAAGCCATATAAAGCATTCAACAATAGTACTTCCCACTCACCTCATTCAAATATATCTCACATATTTTACTTAAATATACATAACCTAGGTTTATACATGGTATGGTTATGAAATTAAATCATTGCTGTAAACTGATTCTAAGAAAATATTTTCTGAATATTGCAGGCTATTACATTGTCCTTGTTTTTCACATTTTAAATGACACATTAAGGAAGCATACTCTTTATTTGCTCTGTTCGCTGGCAGGGTTCTATGATAACTTTTCAGGATACAAAGCATGGGCTCATCTACACATGCTCTTTTGAAGTGAGCTGGTGTGGGTTAAATAGGGTTACTTGGGGTTGGGTTAGGCTTAGGGTTAGGGTTATGCTATTTGGTGCAGTCCTCACATCCAAGTGGCATATTGGAGCCTCAAGCAATCCTATTTGCTCTGGCTCCTTCTGATATCCTGAAGTGGCTTAATAACTGAGCCACTTCAGGATATCAGCCAACTGAACACTTCCTCTGCTCCTTGGAGGAGAAGAATTGTTCTTCCCAGTAAAGATAAAAGTTCCGCCTTGACATTTAGCCCAGTCGTGTCCAACTCTAGGGGGCAGTGCTCATCCCCGTTTCCAAGCCTTAGAGCCAGCGTTTGTCCATAGACAGTTTCCGTGGTCACGTGGCCAGCACGACTAGACACGGAACGCCGTTACCTTCCCACCATGGTGGTGCCTATTTATCTACTTGCATTTGCATGCTTTCGAACTGCTAGGTTGGCAGGAGCTGGGAAAAGCAATGGGAGCTCACTCCCTCACATGGATTCGATCTTACGACTGCTGGTCTTCCAACCTTGCAGCACAGAGGCTTCTGCAGTTTAACCCGCAGCACCATCACATCCCTGATATCACTAAGATGCTGCATCACTTTAAAAAAAAGAAAAGAAAATTAATATTTTCTTTGGTTAGTCTGAAGGCTGAAAATGGACCAGACCAGAGTGATCCTACCTACCTACACCAACAAAAAAAAATACAAGCTCCTGATAAGGTCTCAAAAAGGTGTGAGAAGGGCTGTTCTGGGGGTGGTTTGGTTTGTTCCAGTGATTCTGCTGTGTGACTGCCAGAAAAAAAGTGAATCAAACTGTCCCTGCAGCAGACTAAACAGCAGGACAAATAATTACTGATTGTGACTAGCACTAAAATGGAATATTAGTTTTATATCCAATGAGCATTGTAATTACAGCTATAACAGTTCCTTTAGAATTGGCAACATTTGCTACACTTCCAATGGGCAAAGCAATTGTAAGTGGGACTGCAGAGAACTGGAATAATAGATTGGCAGCAATGCCATCTCACAGAGACAAAGGCAGAATGTGTGTCACAGCAGGGAATGGCTTTGTCAGAGTTTTTAAATATTCACAAGCCCCCTAATCACATTGGACAGCAATGAGTGGAAGACTACCTATCAGCTTTGAAGTTGGCATAGCAAATAAGCCTGGATCAAGCTTTTTTGAAAAACCAAAGAAGTTTTGGAATCAAGACTGACTCTTCTGTACAAATTCACTCTTTACCTCCTCCCCACTCCCAATCCTACATTTGGAACTTTCCAAGAAGAAGTAATTTCCCTTTCTACCCAGCCGTAGCAGGGGTGTCTTCTCTGGCATAGCTCCTATTCCAGTGGCACCCGTCTGGCAGTAGAACACAAACAACACATAACTCTAACCAATCACTCCAGCAAACATGAGGGAGTGGTACAATTATGCAAGAACCATGTACAGAATTGTAACGTTAACTCCGCCACTAGGAATTTAACAAGAATGTATGCAAATCTGGAACTAATAAAATAAGAATATATTTAATGAATAATATCACTATAACGCTCAAGTGGGAATGTGATAGCTGACACTTAAGAGAACGAACATATTAATTAAAAGATATTTCAGTTAGGTACAATGTCACTTTGATAATAAATATAAGTATAAAGTTCAGAAGCCCTAGGGAACAATTTAAAATGAACCCAATAAACAAGATTTTGTTCAAAACAGCTTGTGGGTTCACAGCCATGACTGTAGGCTGAATAGTAATTACAGAAGAAATTATTTAAATTACTAGTCAATGAATAATGCATTCAATGCACAATCCACTTGAGTGTTTCTAGAATCCTTAGATTTGCTTCTGCATAATTAAGGTAATTAAGAGCAGGGGTCAAATTATCAGCACAAACCCTTATATTAATTAATAACTGATGTGTGACAATAAATTACAGAGGAGATGTAAAAAGTCATGCCAACAAGAAACAGGTGCCCAAGGGTCAGTATAAAGAGCCTCTGCTATTTATATTTAAATAAAAGTTAAAACAACAACAACAGAACAAATAATGATTTCAAATCTAGCTGTAGTCACAGACTTAGACAGGAATGTCCATAATTGTACAAACTGAATCTAGCTAGTTCAGTGGATATGGATAATGATCCCACTGGCTGAAATTCTGTTGCATATCTATGCAGCCAGAAGTAAATGGTGTAACATTCTCTCATGTCCAGATGGCAATTAAGTGATGGCAATTAACAGCTGCCATTGCAATTCTGCAACTGCAGTTACCTGCTGGCTTGGCCTGTGCTCAAGGATTGCAACAAGTACTTTCCAATTGTCAACTATGCCATTTGCCTCCAATCCTCATTTAAAAAGCTACCACATTTTAGCCAGTGTATACAAACATACAAAGATTTTGAGATTCATCCATATTAATTACTGGATTTGAGCATTTACATTAATTTTTTCCTTTACGTTTTGGCTTTTCTGTGGAGTGTGCATCCGATGAATACAAATCGGTAAAACAGTATCTAAATATATATTACAATTGAATTTAAATTTAAAAGCTATTAAAATAAGACATATTTCATTAAATTCACATCAAGCTCTCATGATGCACTTTCTGTAACATGTGATGTAGATGAATGGAAGATTAAGTACATTTACAGAATTAGTACATGAGCATCACATGTGGCTTCCTAACAAAATATATTCAAAAACATAGACAAGGCTAAAGATACTGCTAGTTATGCTTTATTCTTCTTAAGTACTAAAATAATTTTAGAATAAATACTTTACCTTGTGCAAACAGGACTGGATAAATTTTAAAACCTCCACCATTCTGCAGCCTTTGAGGAAGTTGTTCAAAATTGTAACTATCAAGATAAAAGTAAACTTTCAGAGCTTGACGACTTCCTTCTGCTTGATAAGTAATTGGCATATCTAAAAATAATAATAGAAATAATAACATGTTATCTAAGACCAGTATATTTGCTGCAAGTATCATAAATGAGAAAAAGAGAAAGCCATTGTGATGTACTGCTTAGAGCAGTGATTCCAAACTTTGGGTGGCCCCCCTACCCCCTGGACATAGCCCACTTCTGAATGAGAGTGCTCAACTGCTTCCAAGCAATGGTTAGGAAACTGGAAATGCATTAAGCCTTATTGCTGCAACAATAGTGTCTTCAAGAAATATAAAATTCCCAATAGTTCCTTATATGCTATGCCTAGTTGCTTACATAGGAGGTAAATGAGAAAAAAATTAAGTTAAAAATTGAAGTAACCAAAATACACTTTACAGTACTCACTTGCAACCAGAGGCTTTTGTTCAGATTGTTTAAAATAAAATGTAACTTTCTCCAGGTCAAATAATGCAACCAATGTATCTTCTAGCATAGCTTGTTCATCCATCTGAAAAATATATATACGCATATATATACACCAATTTGCTTTAAACTGAAATATATGATTATATTAAGTGCAGATGGTCACATCCTGTTTCAACTAATTAGCAATTGAAATTATTCTGTTTGTATCAAATTTCAATTCTCTCTTCTATCAAAAGAAGATTATTAGCAACGGTGAAATACAATGCACATAGTAAATTCATTTACTGTTTCCCATGTTGACTCTGGCATTTAATCACAGAGAGCTGTAGTCATTGTTCATGCAAATGAGTACACTTGGAAATGCTGTTTAGAACTTTGAAAATGTGTATCTGCATTATTGTGGCTAATATCTCAATATATTTTATTTCACCTTTGTTTAAAATGGAAGCATTCACTTGGAACCATACTTTACCATAGGGTAAGGATGCACAGCAGGTACAATATAAGTCAAAGAATCTGATTCTGAGTGATTATATTTCTGATGCTTTCCTTTTCTTATAACCAAGCAGCATACCGAATAGAAATATGAATTTTCTCAAACAACACAGACTGGATCCCAGAACAGCTTCTCTGAAAATGATGACTAACTGGTTTTCTTTTTTCTCTACTGTATAAAGTTTAAATGTATTTTCTGTTAACACAACTGACAAAGAGAAGAACTGACAAGAGAAGCCTAACTAGTATTAACAGAGCAGCACTACATCACTTTTAGTGTCACTTTTATTGATTTTTAAATTAGCCATTAAACTTTCAATATCCTCTGGCCCAATTAACTTCAGTCCAAACCCATCTCCTTCTTAAAAGTTCCAGAGAGAATAACAACCCTCAGCTCTCGGTTAGTTTGCAGTACAAAAGTCAGGAATAACACTAAATACTATTATATGTATTGGATAAACCTGCAGACTGTTTACCTGAATTTTCCAGGTATTAGACAATTAACCTAGTAAAAGAGATCTTTCAGCTGCATTCAGATTTTACAGTTTGCTCATGTGGGTGCTTATAACTAAACTTTCCTCCCAAATCTGTCCATTAAAGTATTCAGTGCTATGCTCTAATTTCCTCTTGATAATTCAAAGTCCCCTTCCCTATTATACTGGCTGCTAACTCACTCAGATAAGATTCTAGTTGTGTTAAGAATTATTGGAATGCTCTGAAATATAGAAATGTAAAATGCTCTGTAAAAAAGTCTTTGCCATCAGTTTCTTTCATGATAAAGGAGGAGAAGGAGGAGAAACATCTTAACTATGAATTTTGAGAGTTTAACCATCAGGACTATCAGGACTGTCTTATTCCTGAAATTGATCAGGAGTCATCTGTTCTTCCGCACGTTGCCCCTTTAACACAAGTTCTTCATTTGATAATAAAACTCTTGCTGCCTCCAGCCCTATCTCTGTCATATCTGTCATTCAGGTCAGTTATCAGTCCAGTGTGTGATTTAATTCCTCAAGAATCTCTTTCTGTGCTGTGAGCTGAGTCAACATTTTATCAAGCAGAGATACATTATTTTTTGCAACAGATCAGTTGACAGTGCTCTAATTGTAGTCCATTCACATTTCTGTATCTCTAGAGTGTCTAAATAATTCTGTTCCTGATAGTAACACTGCATTATCTTCATCCTCTATTTTGGCACCAAAATATCACAGCCTAATAAGCTGCTCTGTCCCCCTTATTTTTAAATTAATTTAAGCAAAGCCCACTTTTCTACCAATACAACTGATTTAGCAAGAAAGTCTAACTAATTGAAAAGGAGCACTGGTTCACTTTATACATTCACATTCACTCTTTTGATTTCTAAAAGCAAAGAAGAATCTTATGGCATCTCAAAGATTTGGCTGTGGCTTATAAAAGATTGTGCCTTAATCATTTCTTTGGGATGCTACAAAGCTATTTTTGCTACAACAGACTAGCCCTATTATATCTTTGGAAATGAACATATTGTATGTAATCTCTTCACAGCCAGAAGCATTAAAAATGAATAGAGAACATTTTGTCATTGATATGTGCAATAGGTCCTCAATCTGTTGTCCATTAATGGACATGCTCCACTCGTATGGGATCTTCCAGGGATCATTCTCTAAAGTTCATAGGTGCACTCAGAAATGCTAGTAGCATATGACTAAAAGCTCATTAACAGGGTGACTAACAGATGTGTTTTGTGTGAGGTTGGAAGAAAAGACAAGAGAGATTATATTTGTTGGCTTAAGTGAGACTGTATGTTGTTGCTCTTTGTATGATTGCAGCCACGAGATCTGCTCCAAGCACATGGTGCTGGGGAGGAGTTACAGATGAGTGGAAATGAGTGCTGATAAGACATCGATCACTGATTTCAGGGGGAACAGAAGGCAGCTGGCCATCTCTAGTTACACTCATGACTAGAGTGAATAAACACAGGTGTTTGACAGAGGACTTCCACAGTGCTGTGTCACTGTCTGCCTAGGACAAGAAACATGAATAGACATTAAAGGAGCAGCTGTAGCAACCTGCAAATCTTTCACATGCTTGTCTTCCTCCTGAGCATATAGGGTGCTGCAAGTGCAAGCCGGTAGTCCTATTAGAAGAGAGGTTAGAGCACCTTGAAGCCTTTATCACCACACTTCAGCTCATGAGGGAAAATGAAGCATTTCTGGATAATGTTGAAGGAGCATTGACAAATGTGGGAAAAGCTTTGGGATTTGGGTGGTCAGATTTGCTTTATTTTCCACTGATTATACAACATACAAATCAGAGTCCTGTCCCCCATCCATAGCTTTTTCCTCTGCTTCTGGGGCTTCTACTTTTTTGACAGCAAATGCATTCACATCAGTTCAGATGGTGTAACTGCATGTGCTGATGCAGAAAGCATATGTCATTACCAAATACTGAAGAGGGAGCAAGTCTTAAAATAATAAATAGAGAAGAGGGTATTTTAAATTGCTTTTATTCTGTTTTTAAAGTGAGACCTTTAGTCCATCCATAAGAAAACACAATTTTCCCTCAAATTCAATGTTTTCCTCTATCCTTCCCACTCTATTTCTTTGCTTTTTAAAGGCTTAGTGCTGTTGTATTTTCCTTCAAATTCATTGTTTTCCTCTACCCTTCCCACTCTATTTCTTTGCTTTTTAAAAGGCTTAGTGCTGTTGTTTTAGGGCACCTAGGAAACCAAAGAGGAAAAAGAGCAAGGAATCTGCAGAGCTTGAGAGAGAAATGGCTTATGAGCAGTTCTTTGCAGCCTATTAAGGTAGTTGTGCCTCCTATAAATCTGAACAACTTCAGAAGAGTTACCTAAACAAGGTTCAAATGAGGGTGATTGCTAATTTCTTCCTCTTTTCTACTGACTCCTGTGTGCCTGGCTAAAGCAAATTCACCCATGGAAACATGGACCCTAGGTGCGACTTCACAGCAGATCTATTTGCATTTTTTCTTGCTGTGTAGTCACAGCCCAAGTCCACTCTTCTGGAAGAGCAACAGAGCAGAAATGCTTCTGGGAAGAAAGAAGAGTGGCAGGTGGAGAAGGTAAGAGCATTTGTCACATTTTGTCAGGAATGTGACAAAAAGAAGTTGAACTATCAGGAAGCACATTGAGCCTCTGGAGCTATAAAATCAATAAAAGATATTGCCCATGGACAGTGATTATGGCCTGCTAGAACAGGTTGTGGGAAAAGGTATGTTTAGGAAATCTGTCCAACAGCTTGCCATTTAATTAAACCTTATATCCAAGTTAGTTATGCCAGAAGAGTCAAATTGAGTAAGACAGAAAACCAGCATTCTGTTAATATAATAGCCAACCAGTTGCTTACAAACAAAAGCAGGCATATTCCCCACAACCAATACACAGAAACATTGATATACAGGACATCTCCCTCCCTGCTGCTGCAAGTTGTCGAAATCCAGTAGCTCTATAAGCTTTTGATAAAGGACTATCCAAAGTCTGTCCTCTTTACCACCATCATATATACAGAAAGTCAAGGACTAAACTGGTTGTGCTTTTACTACTATACAATGAACCAACTATGATACTGAACAGAAAGGACAGTAAGTGAAAGCTAGCAGTTCCTGTAGTATGCTGGTGTATTTCAGAGTTTACACATGGTGGTAACATGTTCTAGGAATCAATAAGCAATCAGTAAGTATAGAAGAAGCAGGTGAGAAGAGAGGGCAAATGGATATGAAGTGAACCACTACGCTCTTAACATTTATTTGCACAGTTTTATTGCAGTTTCAAAAGAATATACTTACTAAAAATAATTGAACATATGCTAGGAGTTAGGGCAGTAGTCAATTATAAAAGGGAATAATTTCATGTTACAAGCTAGTGCATTTAGGAGTGCTGTAATGCCCACAGCACTGCTCCAAATACAGCTGCTTTAAAGGGGAGGCATTCAGGGTACAGAAAGTGCACTGCCTGCCATTTCCACATTGTGAACTGCCCCAACATTCTGAGCCTTACAATTTCTCATGAATATTTGGGTGCTGAAGGCCCAAACTGAACCTGAAAATAGAACAATGGAGAATGAGGTTTACGGACAGAAGAGACAGACAACTGAGATCAAAAGAGAGAAATCGCAGAGGGCAAAAATTCACAGTATTTAGAGAAGTGGTAACATGAGCTGGTAGGAAAAAAGAAATGCTAGAAAGCCTGAGCATGGCCAAATGTGGCTAGAGGAAATGAGTGGAACTGCTACTGTTTCAAAAAGCAGGACACGTAAGACATAATGGCCAAAATCCTATTGCTTAACGTAAACCAAATTGCAACTCAATCTGTTCCTCCCTGGTAAACAAAGCATTCCCATGGCAATTATTCAGATGCACATGTGCATGTATCAAACCAGGATGCACACATGCCCTGAAGGCTCACAGCAGGGACAGTTTCTTTACCAGGAAGGAAAAAATCAAAAGTAATAACTTGGGTCACACTAGACAATAGGGTTTTAGCCAATAAAAAGGTAAAGGTTCCCCTTAACATTTAGTCCAGTTGTGTCTGACTCCGGATCCAACCTTGTGGGTAACAGAAACATTGAGGTGAAAAAAAGCAGAAGCCATGGAGAAAGCATGAATGGGGACAAAAACATATATAAAGACTCTAGACAGGAACAGCTATGCAGTTTAATGGAATGGCACTGTTATGGTAGAGCTATTAGAGCTTAGAGATGTTCTATCTGTAAGTTTCAACACTGATCAGCTGTGGCTTTTACTGTTAGCCCAAACTTTTGCCTTGGCAACCCCTAAGGAAGAAAAACAAGAGTAGGTGAAGGAAGTATTTTATATATTGCTATGAACTAACAGGCAAGTCTTGGCTTCCAATAGAAACTAAAAGTTATTAATTCAAGTCAGAAAAGTAATACATCAGATCCTTTGCATTGTTAGCCAACTGAATTAAATTCAGCAAGTTCTCACACATTTAGAAAACTCTCATCCTTTTTTAACAAAGGTTGGTTCTATTTAGGAAACAGGACAGTAAGAATATTGCACGGAGTGAAACAAGCATGCACAGAAATTCTCACCATGTTGGGTGACAAGAGGGACTGGAAATAAAGGAGGACACCTGCATCAGAAATTTGTTCCAACCATCTTCTGCTGGCCTCTTGAGTCTCTATTTCACACTCCTTGCTGTTATCAAACATCTGATTTAAAGCAGCCATTAACTGCTCTGAAAAAGCACAAACTGTAGCCACTAGACTCTGGCAGAAGACCATGTCTCGCCTAAGTTGTATCTCACTATCTGTGAAGGGCATAACAAAGGAGAAAAACAGATAAGGTCAGTTAGCTTGATTGTAAAATACGTACACAAGGATCTGTGGCTTACTCACATTTCTGCATTATCTTTTACTTATTCATACAATTTGCATTGCAATCGCAGACATGCCTGTTCAGAAATTATTCCCTTTAAGTTTAAAATGGCTTACTCAGAGGTATGGGATGAAGCATTAGTTTACAATGTATTTCATGTACTGTACTTATCTTACAAAGCTGATTCAATGTTCTATTTTATAAAGGCTTTTTCAGGTCTCCACATTCCTTCTCTTTAAACTGCTTTTTTGCTGTCCTTTTTTACAATTTATCTTGTCATACCTAGGATTCCCCTCATACACTATATTCCTTGACATTGCCTCATATCAGACAGTTGAGAGGAATCACATTCAATGAATGCAGTTCACTGGATTCTGGTCAGTCAATTCCTACACTGCATTTTCTTCCATGTTTAACAATTTCATAATAATACAAGATGGAAAATGTATGGAGCACTCAACTACTCTGAATAATACTGAAGTTGATGTTAAAATTACCTGTATATTCTAGAAGAGCCAGAAGAATCCTTGCTTTTGTCTCTGAAAAAAAATATAGCTTATTATTTGGATTCAGATTCAATTTTTATTTTTGCATCTTTCCCCACTGGCTTCAACAGCTATTTTCTAATCAACGTCAACACCAGTCTTCTAATTTATACTTTTATGGGGATTCATGTCCACGGATTCATTAAATCTCAATTTACATGTTAAATAATAAAGCATCAATATGTACTATTTGTTGATTAACCAAACAACCGTATAAGTTTAGTATCTGGCTATGGAGCCAGAGGTTGAGCGTTCAGTTCCCCCACTGTGCATCCCAGAAGGGGCAGCCTATGTGGCCTTGGGCTAGCTACACAGTCCCTGGGAATGGCAAATCACTTCTAAGTATTCTCTATCTCTATTTTTAATAAACAAATAAATACTTCACTCTTCACTACTGGCCTGTTCTAGTTTCCATTTTAAACATCTGCCTGGAGTTCAGTAGGAACAGAATTTCAACAAGGTAGATGCAAATAGCACTGCAGAAACTCAGTCTGCTTATATAGTTACATAAAGACAGGAGGAACTTCTCAACTATAGCTTGGATCATTCTGGAAGAAAATAAAATTTCACTGACCTAACAACTACGACAATAAGAAATATGCTGTACTTTCAAAATCTCTATTACTCCCCACAAACTTCTTTACATTCTGTGAACTCTACCTCAGAACAAGGCTACTTATTACATAGGGGTTACCAACCTTCAGTGAATTTCTTGATGTTTTGGGAAAGGTTTCGTACACTATTGGGAAGATTCCAAGGGTCCTGCTTGATGTGAAGTCTCAGTCGCTTTGGACAGCTGAGTTTAAGTTCAACTTCCTGCAGAAACTCTAGTCAAAAGCAAAATTACTTATTCAGTTTATAATAATACAATTTATTCTATGAGTTTTAGTGATCTTACAGTGCAATCTTAACCCCATATCCACTGACTGAAGGACAAAGCAATGTAAAGGAATTTTAAAAATACTGTAGTGAAAATTCACTTCTCTGTTTTTTCTTGGCCAACATGCCCTGACTTTGTGCATTGCTGAAGATTTGTAATTCCTTCACTCTTGACTCTATTTAATCACACATAAATGCTACAATTCATAACGTAAATCTTTATCTTTTCTAGTTGACAATTAATGTAAGAACTAATGCATTTCTAGGGGGGAAACTGTTCAGAAATGTAATGTGTTTGAATATTCATAAAAATATTAGTGACCCTTACAAATATATCCAGAGACATTATAAGCCAATTGGTTCAGATATACCTATACAGAAATACTCATGTCATTTCTAGTTCAGATACAAGACCCAAGCCATGTCAGAGTCAGCACGGTATATTTCCTCTGTCTTCTTTGGTATTGCAACTATTTAGTTGTTTGAAAACAACTGAACAAAACCATATGAATTTAACTATCCAGTCCCTATCAACACAATATACACAGACAAGATACCTGATTTCCATGTGGAAAAAGTGATATGGGGGTGAGAGGGGCCAGTCACTCCTCACTAAGTACACAGATAACAACCAAGTAACAACTGAAAAAGACTACAGTTACTCTCTAACTCAGAACTGCAAACAACATTTTGCACTGTACTCCTAAGTCTACCTTGGAAGCAAATTATGGCTTGCTTGTACAAAACGTATTTTTCCTGATATGGACAAATTATATATGTGTCAAATTATATCATTACTAATACTGATACTGTACTATTTAGTACCCAGCTTCCAGAATGGCTTACACTATAAAATTATAGTAGGATAAAAGCCATGATTGACTATTTTTGAATTGAATTTATTTATTACAGTCGGGTGACCAGCTCATAAAACATATTTATGGCTAAAATATACAAAATGCAGTTTAAAAATATATAACCAATTCATAAAACATATTATGTGGCTAAAATACAGTATATAAAATGCAGTTTCAAAATGTACAGCCAGTTCATAAAAGATATTATATGGCTAAAATATACAAATTGTAATTTGAAAACTGTACAACAAATAATTGTGTACTGGTTGTAAAATATGGGGAGAATCAAATACAGCATGTTGATAGCTATCCTTTGAACCATTGGATCATCTAGGGCAAACTAGTTTGGACAGGGTCTTTGTGTTATAGGGAGTCATTCCTACATATTTGTAAAGATCTGCAAAATTTTTCCTCCCTTCGGTTGGAATCACAACATAAACCACCCTCATGCTAAAACCAGTCAACCTGTGAACTCAGAAGACTGCAAGGGAGCGCTGTGCCATTGCTGCTGCACAAAATTTTGCTGCAGAGCATGTAATAATGGAGTCTTGATCAGAAAGAAGTAGCTTGATGTAAAATTCATCAGGTCTCCCTGGATATCTGAGAATGATTGGGCTCAGGAGGTTGGTGCGCAGATCTCTATAGAAAAGACAGTACACTAAGATATGACCTACAGTTTCGACTTGGCCATCATTACATGGACACAGCAATCCAAGATATATGTTGAAATCTTCCCTCCATGAGCTTAGAGGGGAAAACATTGTCTCGCTAATGTGAAGGCTCTTCTGGTCTTTGTTGACATTCTGCTCGTCAAATATGAAGATACTATAAAGGCATTATTAGTAACAATATTGTATTTGCCTGACTGGCTCACATGCTCTTGAAGTTCTATATCCCAGGTTCTTTGTTTTAGTGCTGCTTTAGCACTGACATGCCCTATCACCAAAAGAACATTGGTGGGAAAGCCCATTTGTCTTATTTATTTTGTAAGTTGCAGTTTCCATTCTGATTGAAAGGAGTCAAAAAGTGACATATGTGTGAGGCCTTCTGAAGAGAAGAGAAGCTTTAGCTAGTAATTAAACATGTGGACTTTGGCACGTGCTCTTATGGCGATTAGGCCAGCCTTCAAAAGAAGGGGTACATTAGGTGTACAGGGGTACAGTCAGAATAGATCTCAAAAAATTGGCTTGAACTACCTCAAGAGGATATAGGTCAGGTAAAGCAAACAACTGGCACCCGTAGAGCATTTGAGCAACAACTTTAGCCTTGAAAACCTGAACGGCTGAGGGGATATGGTGACCCCCTTTGATGTGAAAAAATCTTGTTAATTCCACTGCACTTTTATGGGCATTCAGTGTTGCATGCTTTATGTGGGGTGCCCAGGAACCCGAGGCATGAAAGATTATGCCCAAGTATTTGTAGCTGGAAACCTGCTCTATGTGATGACCACTGACAGCCCAATTGTGCTTTACTCTTTTACTAATCATGAGAACTTTGGTCTTCTGGTAATTAATTACTAAGTGCTCTCAATTACAGTAGGAAGAAAGCCCCCTCAAGAGTCTTCTCAGTCCCACACATGTTAATGAGAGTAGAACAGCATCATCTGCATAAAGCAGCATTGATACATAAGTGCAGCTTGGGGGATGAAATTCAGGCTTAGATAAATCTTCAACTATGTTGATATAGAAGTTAAACAAGGTGGGAGCCTGTTTGACCCCATTGAAAACTGGGATTGGATTGGATAGAACTCCAGCTGGATTACAGAGGACTCTCAGGTGGGTATTTTTATACAGTCGTCTCATTAACAGAAGCATTCATCTGTCTATGTTCGTAGAATCAAATTTGGTCCAAAGTTTAAAATCAATAAAGGCTGCATACAAGGTGCCTCCTTGAAGGGAGGAGTATTTATGAGCTAGATGTTGTAGGATAAAGCCCTGATACAAGGTGGACTTTCCTGGCCTAAATCCTGTCTGCACATCGGTCAATATATTTTCTACTTGAAGCCAGTCTGAAAGTCTCCCCAGTAGATATCTTGCATACATCTTACTGATTGTACTGAGCAGTACGGACAGTAATTAGCAGGCCTCATTTAAATATTGGCACTATAATGGCTAATCCCCAGTCCTCTGGAATACACATTGTATAATTATTCCAGGAAAATAGGGAGGCCAGGACTGGGGGCCACCAGTCCAGGTTGGCCTTCAACAAGTCTACTGGGATATAATCAGCACCAGGGGCTTTACCTGATTTTGTTTGGCAAATTAAGGAGATTTCACCTGGGGATACCGGAGGCCAATTTGGTAAATTTTCGTAAGATGTAAACGAATCTAAAGCACTCTCAGGATGCATAGCATAAATGCTCTGAAAATACTGTTCCGAGACCATGGGGA